CGCATGTTAGACTCATTTACGGCTAGGTTGCTAAGGAAGGTATTCGGACCGTAAGTTGGGCGAAAATTATGGTCCGTTTTTCAAAATTTAACTCGTATTTGCATGGTAAAATGGTTTTCTAATCAAGCTCTTCCTTTCGTAATCAATGGTAAAGTTTCTTTTGATTGACTTACACATTTATATATCTGAAATGATCTTGTTTTACACGTTTGACTCATTGGCGCAGATGTAATTTATCCAAAAGTTTATATATATCATGTCTTGATCAGAAGTTGTCAGAGTTTAGGATGAGTCATACCCTCTTTAATTGATCCGTCTTCAATTTTAAATATCATCAACGAATAACGATTTTAGTAGCAATTTAATGATTTTGGAGATGTGTTTATGACAACAGATCAACGGCTAGAACTTATTTTCTTCAGCTATTTCACTTGAACTAGACGAAAGCCTATTATCACTCTCGAATCTTCCTGAATTCCAGGCTAGTGATGTGTTAAGCTTTTCGCGTGTTGCTTAGGCATTGAAAGAGCACATTTTTACTGGCGGTACTTTTACCACATATTCCTAACAGGTTTGTTGCATAACACCATGATGTGTTAGAGAAATAAGGTCTCAATTCAAGGCAAATGAACAAAATTGCTACGCTTGTGATATATGTCTATAGGGTTCAGACTCTTCCTTCAAACATGTACGCTTAACAAATTTGAAGGCCATGGGTAACCGTATATGGCGTACAACATCCGCCTTGTTTGTCATCCAGTGTGAAGCAACACTAACCGACTGTGTCAGTTTTAAACATAACAGTAATTCTGTTATGTTTTACCGTTTCATGTAAGCGTTTCTTAATTTGTGAAGCAAACCCTAATGTATGAAGTGAGGGGGAGTGTAACTTTGCTTACCGTCCCCAATCCCAAAATGTTCGAACTGTATAACAAAAGTTTAAATTGATAGCAAAATCTCAATCCCTACTTTTGTCACCGTTCTGCGTTACGGCTTGTTTAGCAAGCTATCTGTACCAATACTTGTCCAGGGAGTTGCGGTCCATTCAACGAATGTGGCCTGATAGTGTTGTCAACCAAGAACGCAGACAGCACAAGGATTATTTATTCAGGAAAGCAACACGTGTGTTATGCGTTTCAGTATTACCATAGACAAAAGCATTCAACTGCGTACGGTACTGGTCCCAGAATGTTACGGCTACCAGAAACGCCAATACTCACTTCCTTTCCGTTCCCTTACGTATCAAGAACTGGTTCATGTGATGTTGCACTCCGATGTTTCTTCATGTATTTTTCTTGCGACTACTGCAATGTCAAAATCTATGATCTGGCCCCCACTACTGAATAGCAGTGGTGTGAGTAGTATAGCACGATCGCTCTTCCTCACTACAGTAGTACCAATCTTTTAAAAGTGTCATACATTTTGAAGATAATGACTGCTTTGAAAGCTGGCTTTTTCTTATCATTCAAATTCGTTGATTTTTTTAGGTTAGTACATAGAATGCAGAATCCATTGATTTTCATAACTGCTTTTTTTCTGTGCCATTTTCTTCTGATGCTCAGATTTACGGATTCTTTAACTCTGAGAAGCATGGTGAAAAAACATTTCACGAATGAGTTATAGCGTTGCAACGTCTTCACTTGCCATCTGCATATGTGGTCTAGGTTCCCCCGGTGCAACCATACCTGATAAGTGAGAGCAACCGTAAAACTCGTCGTGTTCATCTAGTTTACTTGTCTACTACACTTGATAAAGTTCACGAAGTTTCTGCCAGTTTCGTCAATCGCATCTTCTAGTCTACGAATTCTCTTGAATCTAAGCAACACAAAAAACTATACGGCAAATGAGATTCACTTGTGAAAATTCAGAAGCTTTCGTTCATGTGATAGAAAAGTGGTTTGAGATCCACAAGGTACGCACAGTTGGCGGGTGGCAACAACCACGAAGCCGGTTGTGTTTTTCTGATGAATTCTGATTGCTGAGCATACGTTACTCAATCTAGAACAGTGTTGAGAATAACAGCATTTTATTTCGCTCGTTTCAGCTGTCACCGTCATCAATTACTTCTCTTAAGTAATACAATCGATGAACCATATCGAAGAAGAGATATGTCGATGAACTCGTATAAGAAGATCTGTAGATTACACACCCTGTTACAGAAATTATGTTCGAAGCAAATCACTCTGAGGAAATGATAAGTTCTACCAATGACGGGCAATACAGTTTAACATCCTCCTTCTCTGTCGCGGGTCTTAAAACATTACTTAATGAAATATCATATATTTGTTGAGGAAAATCAATTTCTTATGACTGTGCTCCATCTGATATATGCATATGTATCACCGCACTACATTCATTCCAATCAATGCTAAACTGCAGGTCGGAATATTTCAGTTTTTCTAGGGCAATCATTCAAAACACGGTGTGTCCAATTATACCGCATTTTGTTTCATTCTGCTTGGATAAACGTAGAGCAAGTGCGGTTACCAGATCGTACACCTTAGTGTCATGAGTTGACCAAAATGTTAGTTGAACACTAGTTCCTAGTCTGTATGATAAGCCGGAAGGTATTCGAGTCCGGAGTTAGTATGGTATACTGTACATGATCTTAGTGTACCCCTTCAACACCATAGCGTCAATCACGCCACAAGAATGCGTACAACCGGCCAGTTGCATTTAGAATACTGACATGACTGTCCCACTCTTTCCGCCTCGGAAACAGCCAGCCTCTTTTTCACGGGCTTGCGTAACTAACCACATGGTTATGCGACCGAAGTAACTAGTTCCACAGGACTAATGGGCAATAGACACTGAACACGGTGTTGAAAACAGAGGGATTTTCATTCAAACTGTGACCACAACATTCAGGTGTAATTTGAAAGATCACGCACATTTAGACTGTTGACGACAGTTCGACCGAGTGAATGGAATATGATTGATGTTTTAATTATAGTTTTTATTGAGGACGACATTCAACTGCATAGTGAATAAACAATAGCATCACTATGTTTATTAATCAACCGCTCACCCATTAGAACACATACAGAAACAGCCCATATCACTTAGTTTTCACGAACTCAACACATTTTTACAATAATAATTTGTTTGCTATTCAATCTTTTGGTTTTTAAAAGTGTTTGTTCACAGGAAGATTGCGTTGATTTTTAACGGAGTTCTACTGACAAACTTCTCTGCGGTACACATACAAATGTACACTAAAGCTTCATTAAGTAGTCTAGCTCTAAACACTCATGATACCAGTTGAGCTGACGTCAAAGCAGCTCAACCACGCAGGTTGTATATTTCAAAAGGCTAGGGTGGTGAAGAAATTTTCATTCTTTGGATAATCGTTAGTTAAAAATGATGATCACTTGCTCAACAATGTTGAAACGATCGGAAAAGACTAACCTGTTTTATGAAAATATTTGAACAATGTTGATCGGATATAAACTCTACGAAAGACGTCAATAACACAAGCATACTGTGTCTACCTGGGAATATTCCACACTTTTTAGGTTCATACCACAATTAACTGAGAGTATACAGAAAAAAGCAAATCGATTTCCAATGGGTCTATTAATCAAAATGATATACACATGAATAGTATATGCAGATGTACACACACACAAAAATCATAAAAGACAAGATACTTTAAATGAGCAACAAACAAGTAAAAAGTCGTTTACTCGCTTCCGTTAACTTTAAGAAAGTTTGGTGAATTTTCATGAATACAGTTTTGATTTATACATTCATTACAAAGGTTTGTAATAGTCCGGGTATATCTACTGTAGTACAGTTCGGTACCATTCGGATCGGGTGAATTTGTTTCCAAAGACATTCGGATTTCGCGAGCGTCACGTCACCGAAGGTCTTTAATTACTGTCCTTAATGGATGTACAATTTAGAGTAGAAGTCGTTAGGATTTAAAAAAAGTGTCAATATTAGTGTGGAACAGTGGACATACAATACATTGTGTGACGAAGACAAACACAGTCGATAACATCAAAATTCGTGCAAAGAGATTATTTCAGTGATAGTTTATTGTCCCCAGACATACATGTACATATAACCTGATTAAAAAAAGAGGATAGACACATTATCTGCACTGCTGTGTTACCTTTGTGTTTACAATCTCAACAAGATCCCCTAATGTCTGCCTTATAATGTGAACTAACCAGTGAAACTAACACAATTTTCAAACTGTAGCACATGAATGGACTTGCAACCGGATAATAGCTAAAAAATAGTAAATTACTGATAAGTAGTAGGGGATTTTGATTTTCATACAGATTGAACATCACCCACAATTGATCGCAGCTGTCGCATTCGCATAGACATTCCAGTCGGCCCCTTTCGAACCACAGAAGCACTAGACTCGAGTTTCGCTCTCATTAGAGCTCGTCAGTAGTGCATATCCTCGCCACTGCCGGGACTAGAACCCCGGCCAGGCTGTTCATGAGGCAACCGTGTTTACCACTGCGCCATTGACCTCACGTCATATGTAAACACTCAATCACTTTCGCTTGTGATTAATGATCACGTTGCCCTATCGCCTCGAGAGGAGACACAGTTACTGTCAGTTAACTCCAATCGATGACCCCTCGACTAGGACTAGGGTGATGTTCAATCTGTATGAAAATCAAAATCCCTTACTACTCATAAGTAATCAAACACCGCTCAACAAGTCAATGATTTCTGTGATTTCAACTTGTCTTGTTAATTCAAATCAATGAGCAAACAATAGATGTATACCAACGATTCTATAAAACTGATAGGTAATTTGGCAGATTTTACAATTTAGAAGATACCTAATTGCGAAAAATCTGGGCTTCGGCTGAATTCGAACCAGTGACAGAAACAACATGTCCAAACGTAGCTAATGCTTTACTAGCTCAGCTACGAAGTCACTTTGGAAGCTCAGAACTTTGGTGGATTCCATATGACACAGTTGGCCAAATGAGTAACTAGGTCCAAATGTGAAATTTCTGAGCTTCCGGCGTGGTTTCGTAGCTCAGCTAGTAGAGTATTTGCCGCGTTTGCACATGTTGTTTCTGGCGCTAGTTCGAATCTAGCCGAAGTTCGAATTTCTCGCAATTGGGTCTCTTTTAGATTTCATAAAAGTTGCTAGATATTAATTCGGATTAATCATGATTATTTAAATTTCCCCTCGTGGGAAGTCGAACGCTAGTCACAAGCAATCATGATATGCACTCAAGTCCCTCATCTGTGATGGTCAACACATGTTAAAACGTTCTTGTATCCCGTTTGTACAAACGCAATTGTCTTTTTCAATATAAATCGGGTTACACACCCTTACAATTCAATAGGCCACTAGATCTACAAACGTTTAACCCAATGGACCTATCACCTTCGCACAGTATTCCCATTTTTGAATGTTGCCGATCAAAATGTCAGTTTAGGTTTGCCATTTTTCCCTGCCACAGTCTCACCATTTATTCGATAAAGAATTCATATAATTTCAATTTCATTTTAGTCCTTTAAGTTTACATTACACGTATACAAACATGGTGGCCTAAAATGTGTAGTCTATCAAATATGGCGTAGCTGCCAAGGATTCGTGATTCACAAAGATGTACACGTGATTAGATATGGGGAATCACAATAACGTATTGTATACTGTAATGACATACACCTTCGACCCAAAATCTCCAGCCATAAAAACATGAACTGCCAGTTGTCTTTCCTCAGTCAGTCTGATAATTGCCAGCATATCTCTGGCGCAAATGTTATTCCTCGACCCATTAAATATGCCAGAATTGGGCAAAACGATATGCTCTACACACTCAACTGTCACTCTCTGGGTTACTGAAGATTCAAATGTATTTATTCGAAAACAAGAAGTTTAATATTATTGTCTATACAAAATTATTTGATGTGTTGTACAGCATTAAAAATATAGTCGAATCTCTGTTGCAGGATACAATACTTTCTACTTTAGTGCTATATGCGACACTTAACAAACTAAAAGAAACCGTTTTCAGTGTTATGTTTTTAATGATTTACAAGATTTCTGAATCTGTGTTAGTAGAAGAGTTCCATATACAGCAACTGCTTGACTTACTCTTGTGCGTTAAATATGGCAGACCTGAGTCTGATTGTTTGATCACTGAATATACACAATAAATAGACATATCCGGATAACAGCTAAAATACTTGAGAAGTTGTTGGATGTATTGAGTAGGGAAGTAACGGGAATTTGTTATTGTGATTTGTGGTAACAGAAGGAGAAAGTGAAGAGAACATGAAGACTAGGGCAACAATGATTTACTACCGACCAGAGTTCGACTAATGACAGGTAGGCCAAGGAAAGTGGCACAGTTTTTATAACTTCGGATTTCAAATATACAGCTCCGACTTCAATGAACGGATTGTACACGACTCGGCAGTACAAAATAAAAAGAATCGCAAAATTTTAGTGAATGTACGGTATACCATGGAATATTGAGAGAATAATTTAAAGATTTGCCGTCGTGATATTGTTTTATACAATACGTAGAAATTAGGGCTACCACAAATCAAGGTTATTAGTTCCCCCGACTATTCTACTCAGTATTGTGTCAGTATCATAAACAGACTCATCCTAAAATTCGCACATTATCCAAAATATGCATCAAACCAGCATTCAGTATTCAGCACCGGTTCGTACAGTTGATACTCTGGTTGGTTCTCTCACTACAACCTGATATGCCGAAGAACAGTTTGCCAGACTGGTACTTCTGCGTGGACACATGTTCAAAACCCATTCGTTGCCGTTCGATTTTATCGTTTTTTAAAAACCATAGTTGCATGAAAGGAGGGTACTCAAATCAAGTGACTTCCTATCATTGTCCGTAATAGAAACATTGTTCAAGGAACACTGTTTCATGCGCACTGAAGTCAAAACAATAGGAGATTATTTCAAAAAAACAAGGCTGATTCGTTAATCCTTTCCCTCGAGTCCTGAGAAAATTACACTAGAACAATCCGGATAATTGGAAAGAGCAGAATCATTGAACATGAAATCAAGCTGTGTCTAATTAAGACGAGCTTCAAAATTTTATCAAAAAAGATAAAAACAGTTCCATTATTTCAGCTAAGAAGATGACAGAGATGATTGTGTTTGATTGCACCCAGATATTTGCCAACCATACTAGGATTAGGTTAACTGATCAACCGAAGAATCAGGGCAATTATTCAAAGATTCTGTTACTGACTGGGTGTACAACAGCTGCCTAACTACCGTTATTCAAAATTTGGTAAACGCTTTGTCTTGAACTTAAAATGTCTAAAATGTTATCGCCAATTTTCACTCTATAAAGGAAATTAGTATAGGTAGTGTATTAAAATTATAAGAAGAGAAAATGAAAGATGTAATGTTTTTGTTAATATGATTAATGTACTCTTAATATGAAATCCCAACATGAATCTTAACATGAAATTGTTGGGAGATACTCGTTTGATAAAACAGACATTGTGATTAAAAATAAATTGATCAAACATCAATAAGTTGCAACGAGTGAATGAAATCTGGACTCAGGTGTAGACTAAGCGGACGGGCGAGGTGACAAAATGGATGCATACTGATGAATCGATGATATTTGGAAAACAAACGAAAATGGTCAAAATATGAGACCATCCCCCTTCATGTTTAGAGGGAATAATACTCCCGTTGTTCGTAACTTGTTCACATCCTATCTGTGTAGATGTACATAATCAGCTAAGGATTTCAGTTTCCCCTGGTTACAGCCACCGAGGCGGAGAATAATTATTGTACCAGATCAGGATTATCAACAAATATTCTATTACTAATGAGTAGTTGGGCAGATTTATGGTAGAGCGCTTACTACATTGAGGCATGCTGTTTCCGTCGCTGGTTCGAATCCATCCGAAGCCTTGACTTTTCACAACCGGGTCTCATCTAAAATATTCTACTACATTTTCGCTTCTTTTTTGGATTTATCCATGTTAGGGCGCCTACTCTGTTACCGTCCCAAACCGCCTCCGTCGTAAGAAAGAAAAAAACGATTGACTCGGTCTTAATTAGTGGAACTGTTTGAATCGATCGAGACTTTTTATACGGCTATGCACATTGGCAACCCTAACTCTTCATTTCCGGTAACTGTTCTCTTTGATGTCTTGGGAATGTTTGGTCATTACGCGACCTGTAAATACTTTGTAATTGTTGCCTTTGTCGCACACTTGTTGGGGCGGAACAAAGCGGTTTCCTTTGTATTTGACTTTTGGCTTGTCTTGGGAACAAATTGCGGGACAGTTGTGGTATTTTCCGGGACCGAGATTTTCGTGTTACTTAGTACCGGGACAAGAATCCGATTTATATCTTGCGCATCACTATATCGCGAACGAATCAGCCTATCGTTTAGGAAGGTTTACGACAATTGGACGATGGAGATGTTGGAACTGTCAGACGCTGACGATGCTCGGAAGGTGAGGCTGCTGCTCCGTAAACTGGTCACCTCCGAACACGAACGGTACATGAAATTTATCTTGCCGAAGAATCCAAGGGATCTCAGATCTGATGAAACCACCGAGATGCTGTTCCAAATTTTTGACAACCAGTCATCTTTGTTTAAAATACGCTATCAGTGTTTGAAGCTCATGAAGTCAGCAGATGATGACTGGGTGACGTACGCTGGAACAGTCAATCGGGAGTGCGAACGTTTCAAGCTTCGCACATTGACTAAAGATCAATTCAAATGTCTGGTTTTTCTTTCGTGGACTCCAGTCGTCAAAAGAAGCAGATATCAGAACACGGATTTTGACGAAGATAGAAGAATGTTCCGAAATCACCCTGCAAGATTTCACTGTCGAATGCCACCGCCTAGTGAACCTGAAGCATGACACCGTTATGATCGAACAGAGCAGTCAATCAAACGTCCACACGGTGTACTCAAATGTCTCAGTCAAGGTTGCACCAACGTCGGAACACGACAACCGAAGGAAACCTCCTACATCGTGTTAGCAGTGCGGTGGATGGCATTATGTCCGACACTGTCCATTCAAACAGCATCGATGCACCTACTGCTCCCGGCAGGGCCTCAACGAAAACCATTACCGTTTCAAGGAGCGCCAGCACTTGTTCAATCAGAACTCTCGTAAGCCAAACAAGCCCCGCTTCTCAAAAACACGGGTCGTTCTCGCATCAAGAAACAACGACCACTGGACGCGCAGGAAGTACGTATCCGTCTCTGTCAACGGCAAGTCGGTCAGACTACAGCTCGATACAGCATCCGACATCACATTAATCTCCGACCGCACGTGGCGCCTGATTGGTAAACCTACGTCACACCCCACAGCTCAACTTGCACAAGGCGCTACTGGTGATCGATTGCCCATCCTTGGCGAAGTCCAGTGCATTGTAGCTATTAACGGATAATCAATCAGCGGTACCTGCTACGTGACCCACAATCCTGGCCTGAATCTCTTTGGATTGGATTGGATTGACAAATTGCGTTTATTTGACAGACCATTATTCCAAATCTGCAACCGCACTCAAGCTCATCGGAAGCCCACGATGACTTCAGCAATCCACCACCAACTCACAAACGCTCTCCAGCAAAGACACCTAGACGTGTTCGCTAAAGAACTTGGCTGCTGCACCAAAATGAAAACAATCTTATCCCTTCGTCCTGGAACGAAGCCGGTATTTCGACCCAAACGTCCAGTACCCTACGCTGCGCTGGCAACTGCCGAGCAGAAACTGAAACGTCTTCAGAAGGCTTGAGTGATTTTCCCGGTGAACTATCCAGCTAGGACGTCCCATATCGTCGTGGTCAAGAAGGCAAGTGGAACAGTACGACTCTGTGTCGACTACTCTACAGGTCTAAATGACGCTCTCGAGACGCATCAGTATCCTTTGTCGATACCAGAGGATTTCTTCACGAAGCTGAATGGCGGCAAATGTTTCGCAAAGCTCGACCTGGCCGAGACTTACTTACAATTGCCAGTCGCTGAAGAGTCCAAAGAACTGTTAACAACTAATACCCACAAAGGACTTTATCGATTCAACCGTCTGCCATTTGGCGTAAAGATAGCGCCGGCCATCTTCCAACAACTGATGGAT